TTATCCTTCTGCCTCTCTTCCTATATATGATTTATTGAGATATTTAATTGTAGAATTGCCCCTGCTTTCTGCCAGCATCGGATCTATAGCAAATTCTTGCTTTCTTAGACCCTTCCTAAGTGACCCTGCCAAATCTATGATACACTGTTTTCTGACACCCTCTTACAAAGACTCTGTGATTCCGCGTGGTCTGTTTGCACTTACTTCAGTGAATAATAAACAGTCTGTTTAACTATAGTTGTCTTCCTAGAGGTATTTGGCTTAAGGGAAATGACAATGTGGATGAAAAAAGTAAGGAGATAAACACTGTCTCTTCTGAGTTGTTGTATCAAATGGATAATTAATTTACCAAGATACACGGAGGATGCGTTTGGTGCCAGGCACTGTGTTAGGTGCAGTAAATACTGAGAGGAACAAGACCCAGACTGCTCTCCAGGAGTTTGAACCCGTGGAACACGCAGAGTAGAACATGTATGCTCCAATTTAACTGAAAAGTACCCTAAAGAAAATCAGCTATACACAGTCATTTTAGAAAGTACTTTTTCATTTTTCAGTTGTTTGCACTGCTATAAGGCATATACCTCCTATCAAGATGTTATAGGACCATTGTAAAGGAAGAAGAGCATCTATTTTTAGACCTATAACCTCCAAAATTGTAAGATAATCAATTTGTATTGTTTTAAGCCACACAATTTGTGGTGTTCGTCATGGCAGCAATAGGAAATGAATTTAGGATGCTCCCACTTAATCTTTAAGGTGGAGCGCCCCAGGCATAAGCAAAGGTAGACTAGTCCTTGTTGAGCACCTTCCAGTCGGGCCGTGTGCCTAGGAGTGTGGCAGGGTTCCTCAGAGTCACATCCTGAAGGGTCTTCTTTCTATGCAGAGAATTGGAAATAATTCAGGGGTGACGATCAGAGACCACTGAAGGATTAAAAGCCGTGGAGTGTGACAAAGTCAGGTTTGCATTTTAGGAGGATGGATTGGAGTCTGGAAGTAAGGCAAATGACTGGGAGACTACTTACGTACCCTGGGCAAGAAATGAAAAGAGGCCTTCTTTGAACATCTACTGTAAGTGGACCTTGCTTATTCCTTGAAATTTGGGTAAGAATACTTAGAAAAAATATGATTGTGCTCCTCAGATATTTGAAAGTCTGTCATGGGAGTGGTTAGCCATGGTATCTTCTGCTCTATGCTCAAGGTATGAAGTTAAAAGGAAATGTTAAGTGCACTCTTAGGAAGTACATTCTAATAAGTGGAGTGGCCTAAAAAATAGCATAGACATCTTCGCAGATAATTATGCTTTATATCTTTTTTCTTTCATCTGTTCAACAAATATTCATTTGAGCATTTAGGATGTGGCAGGCATTAAGCATATGATGGTGAACAAAACAGACAAAGGCACTGCCCTCTGTGGAGTTGACTCTAATTTCTGATGTGATCACTGCGCCAAGAAGCAAGCTTCCAGTCCGGAGAGCTGGAAAGAGGGCCAGGCTGCCTTGCGGTTAACGCGCTTGGGAAGGTAACTCGGGAAAGAGTTGGGAAGCACGCGGAAGGTTCAGGGTCACGGCGGGACTAACGGGGCGATTCC